CACAAAAATAAGAGTAAAAAATATCCTTTGTAGTGCTGGTATTCTCCGATGTTCAACCATACACATTTCCTTCCTACAAACAGGATAACACTTATAATGGCTACTAAGTAAACGTTTATTTACACACCAGTCAATTAATGCTTTTTTCCCTTTCGTTCCAAATCATACAGAAACTTCAAATTAATCTTACAACATTCAGCCATTCTATCATCTAAACCACAAAACAAGCAATGTACTTCCTAACCAACACACACCACAAGCCCTTACAAACATTTTCCCATCATTCAAAATTTGCAGCAATCGCGCTATCGATTACGTCATGATAGTGTTTCCATAACATTTAACTACTCAGGTTACCATAAATGAAACAACAACTTGGCGATAAATGAAACAACATCGCGATAATACAAGAGGCTCCTTTCAATCTGCTCTAAACATCCTTCATTTTCAAATATATTTATAAATAATTTAATAAATATTTATGTATTTTGTTAAAGGTAGATACACGCTTTTTGCAAGCATGTGCATAAATATCCATACATATTTCGTGCAAGCAGGAACCTCAAAATTTCTGGGAATAAAAGACTTGCATGACAAGATGCAAACATTTAACAATCTGGAATCAATAAGGGAATCATTCATGACCAGACCTCCTTTGGCAGGATACTCAAATGTTTTCACTTCCGTTGATCACCCTATTTTCAAATTCTTAATAAGCTGTCTTGATGATGTGGCACATTCACATAGTCACATTATCTTGACCACGCGTTGTAATTCTGCTGAATTTGCAAATGTATTTAACTTCTGTTTCACACATTTGTATAAAATTTTATATAATTTTACACAAATGTGTGGTTACAAATAAAGGAAAAGTTAACTTATTAGCATATTTCTCTGTGTATTTATTAATTTCAATGATAATTGCAGCATTTGGTGGTAATTTCACTTTTTAGCTAATCCAAAGTGTAAACCCGAAGTGATTATTTTTCAGTGATATAAAAATAAAATGATGAGTTTAAAATGAGCAACTATTAAGCTCTCCTCTTAAAATTTAAAAAATGTACATGTTAGAATAATATGTGGATGACAAATATATATATATATATATCTTATTTAAACACTTTGGTGTTTGGAACATAAAATAAAAGTAGCGAATACTCTATCAAGGGTATCGAAAGACATATATGATTTTAAATGTACTGTAAGTTATTTTTCAGTCTTTACACACAATATTTTTACTAAAATCTGTATTTCTCTGCGATTCGATGAGAGCCATCTACAGTGTGGGGCAATTACATAAACAAACATGAACGAATTAATTTGGAAAGACACAGTCAAGAAAAATTAATGCATTGAAGATGTTAGGAGGGGGACTTATAAAAATGTAAAGAAGACATTTAAAGAGATGTTGCTAATTAAGTTATTTATTTATTAGAGGTTTATTTTATATTTTATGCACACATTATGTATACATATATATATACATGTTTTTTTCTATTTTCTTTTTCAGTCACGCTGCTCTGACCATAGTTAGGCACAGAAGTGCTACACACACACACACATAAATTTTAAAATAAAATTTTTCTTTCTTTCTTATTATAGGGTACTACTAAATTATATTTTTGCAAAATGTAAAAAAGACTTTTAACTTGATTACACAAGTTATTTGTCTTCAATTTCAGTTTTAATTTTGTATAATGCTGTGTTATTATTAATATGAAAGATTTTTGAAAGAGCACAGAAAAATTTTGGCAAGTGTACAATAAAAGAAAAAACTAGTTACCTTGTTTAAAGAACGAAGGTTTTTTTGACCTCTGCCAACCACCAGCAAGTTAGTATGCTGATTTCATTGGAGAGGACATACCAAATTAATCGTTGAAGTGTTAGTGTATTGTTTAGTAATGCATAATATTATTATATTTTTATATTTAATTTTTGTTGTATTAAGTATGTGTATTGTCAATAAAAATTTATTTAATTAATTGTAAAATGGAGTATTTTATTCACTTTCATTTCATTGAATATGAGTTTAACTAAAGATGAAAAATTATATTTCTACTGAATATGGAAGTTATATTTTACTGAATATGAAAGTGTATGAAAGTTCACAATTCAATATATACTATAATGAAAATGTGTTCATAAATGAAAATTTGACAGATTTTTAGTGAACATTTACTTTATGCAAAACATGTGAACATTTACTTTGAAAGACTTTTAGTGAACTTAAAAACCTTATGGAAGTATTTGAACATTTACCTGGTTGAACTATTTTCATCAAGAGACTTCTAAAACAATTTTCATTGAACATCCAAAAAGACATTGGACATTTTGTTTTGAAAAAGAATTAAGGACTTTTAAAATTATATTTGTCTTAATTTATTAGTTTATTTAGAAATTATATTGTTATTGCAATAATTGTAAATTAGGTGTTTAAGTTTTACATAATCTATGTATGAAAAAGGTCATGAATGATGACGGGGCATAGGTAAACCTACTGGCTATGTCCTTGATGCTTCTTCATGTGTTTTTTCATGTACTAAAATCTCTGTTGCTTCTCTAATACTTTTCTGCCACCCTGTTCTTTCGACCTTTCTTTTAAAGGGGGGAATATGTAAAATATAACAAAATATGATGGCTGCTCTCCCAAATTCGAGATTTTTCTACATTATGTAACGCTGCTTGAAAAGGGTAACCAAAACTAATATTAACCAATCATAGCTTAGAGTACTTTCTGCATGTACTTTGTATAAATGCCACCTAGAAATAAACTCCCTTACTCTTTTCCTACCTTCCACCTTGCTAATATCTCCTCGCTTTGCTATTCCATCTATGCCCTTAATTTTAAGAATCAATGTACATAAAAATTTATCATATTTTTATTATGATTGAGTCATAAAAATGTCTCTGATTTCATTATGATCAGATAAGCATCTATGGAGATGATTTTATATGGGTAGAAATAAAGACTGGAAATTCTTCAAGTTCATGCTTTGTTATCTTCATCTATAAGCCTGCACTGTCAGCTAGGATGACTGCAAGCTGATTCTTCTTCTATGCTTCCCAGAAATAAGACATACGTACATTAAATTTAAAGTGTAATAGGAAAAGAAATCCTGATTATCCTATCTGAGAAAAGAGGTTTAGAGTAAAAATTAAAAGTGCACAATTTAAAGTTGACTAAAATGTCAAATTAAGTTTTCTTTTTTTCGTGTGGGAAGTTGAAACTTGTTAGAACACTTTTAAATTAAAATACTAGCAGTAAAAAATTAAAATAAGAAGTAATGTAAATTAAAAGTGTAAAATGATAAAATCAATGTATTGATCTTCTCTATTTGATGTTTCAAAAGAACCTTTCAAGGGGCAGGTATTATACAGATGATATGTCAAGAAGGATAAGAAGACATATCCTCTGTATATATATATATATATATGCTCTCCTTTTTTGGAGAGCATGTGGTTAATCTGAAATTATTGTTAAATTTACTAAATGCTGCACACTTTGAGACATAGAAGTTTTATTATATAATGCTTCCCCGCATAAGAGCACCTCACTCGGGATGTTATTACTATTTGTTTTATCAGTGTTTTTATGCAGATGTTCTGTGGCAGTTTTTTTTACCAGATTAAAATGAAATAAGAGTGGAAAATGAATTTAAAAAAATATATCCAAAATCGCCATGTTATATAGTAACTATGTTCCTGTGCAACTGTTTTACTACAGCCCTAGGTCCAGCATGAAACTTGTCCATGCTCCTCATGCTTTATTGCTCCTTTAGTTTCTCATTGGCTTACCTCATTTCAAGTTATTTAAAAATTTCCTAATGGCCATTTCATTGCCTATTGTGCATAATGAAAATGGGGAATTAACAATAACAATTATACTCACATTCAAAAACTTAGAACTTCTGAGCTGCTGCTTTTATCATTTATTTATTCTTTTATCATCTTTAATATAAAGATGCAGAGTGATTAGATATTTATTAGAACACGAAACGGAAAGTGGAATACATTCACTCAGATTCAAACTCTACATCTCCTAATTGCTAGTGGGATGTGCTGCAGATGCTATGAAGGCATTTGATAAGGACGTAGAAAAGTCCTTTGTATTTTTTCTTCTTAAAGGGTAACTGGGTTTCTTCTTAAAGGGTAACTTCATCATCACCAAATCAAGGTGATGATGGATTATCGTTCACCATATTTTAGTTCTGGTGCTGCTTGTAAAATGGGTAGTTTCTTATTGGAGCTGTAAAAAAAAATCAACAATGCTGTCACGAGGATTCAAACTGTGGACCCCTTAACTGCCAGCCAAATGCACTTTCAATTACACTGTGAAGGTATAATTTAAGGAAGGAGATTCTACTTAAATGTCAAAATATCAGTATAGGTCAGCTTTTCTGCTAAAGATCTACAGCTATGCAAATCACCATAGCTGTTTCATTTAATTTTGATGTTGCAACCTTAAAAGTAGTGCTGATCCTTAGGCTTATTGTTTGGTAATTTTTTTTTTTTTTTTTTTTTTTTTTTTTTTTTGTGAATTTTTTATAGAATATGTTATTTTTTACTTCACTGTCAGAATAATTTAGAAGATAATTATATTAGCTCTTTAAAGTAAAATATAGACAGCATAGGAGCAGTAAATTGTATTTTTTTATTGAGTTGTAATTGGCATTTCCAATTTAAAGTAGACCAGGAATTTGTGTTTTTCAATGCTGATTACTTTAGAGATATATTAAGGATATTATTTATATTAAGGACCTTAAATGACCCATGAATGATTTTAAATGTGTTGGATATTCTAAAGTGTTGCTTTTTAACTAATACATTTAGTTAAATGTTTTTTATTGTTTTCTATAAATTTTAATTAAAACATATAATTTTTAAATAGAATAAAATGTAAGAGTAATACTAATGCAATCATTAATAATTTAAAAATGCATTCTGTTGCTAATATATTTTTAGATGTGTATATAATATACATGTATGTACTTTTTTTTTAGGTCAGTTGTTTTATGCCGGAACACTTATTTTTTTCACACCTAATTTGACTCTTTTATTTTACCGAATTATAATATTTATTGAGGAATGCTTTTATTGGAAAGAAAAATGGAGAGACCATCTACATCTCTGTTTTGGTAATTGTTATATGTCTATTTTCATAAGTGCCCTTTTTTTAATCTTCTCATGTGTGTGTTCTCATACGTCCACCTTCTGTGAAGAATTCCATGTTTGTGTAAGTATTATTTGAAATTTTTATTAAAATTATGGTCTGTGATAAGTTTAATATTGATTAATAACATAATTAATAACATTGATTAATAATGATTAATAACATATTATAACTTCGATAATTTCTGTGTCAAAAAGTGCACGTATCTAGGCAAATTTTTCTTGCGTGATGGAATTTGACATGATCAATGAAAAATGTAAATGAAGGAATGATTAAAATTGAGTTGTAATTAGCTCATTTTTTAAAATAAAACATAGATCTAAAGCCATTATGTGTTAATATGATGTGCAGCTACTTCACCAATGCATGGGGGTATTCAGTTAATATGGCAGCTGAATGCAGTTCTATGAAATTTGTTGGCAGTTAAGTTATTATTTTGTTGCATGAGGTTGTTGCATAAGGTTTATATTTGTTGCATGAAGTTTGTAATTATCATTCTAAAATGTCCTGTGCATATTCAGTTGAAGTTCTGGAGATGTGGTAGGCCAATAGAGAGATGTTGATGCATTGCAGAAGTTTTCTAGAGACCTTCACAATAAACAGATAAGCATTACTGCTGAGAAATATTCCCTACCGACAGCACAGCATGTTTCAAGACGTTGTCAAAGTGCTATTTTGCAGTGCCATGATTCTAGTATTAGTCAGGCCTCCTCCGTCATGAATGTTGGTCACTGAATCCAAACCGAAATTATTTGTCAACCATTTTACGACTTCAATACATTCTAGCCATAACACCACTGCAAGCATTGCTACTGAGCACACAGCTGTGTTGGAATATGCCATGTTGGAACTGCTAGTATCAGGATTATCTGCCTGTGTAATCTACCCAACCCTTATGCAAGATTGTTAGTGAAGCGATTAATGACAGCTAATTGAGTAATTTTTGTTAAATTTTCCTGACTGAATGTATTATCTTTGAATGAATTTTGGGAGCATTATTATATCCTAAGATAAAAAAACACTGCCACATAAGCAGTCATAAGTTAACAGCAAAGCAGTATGCTTTCATATTTATTTTGATATATTCATTTCCCATGCATTTTATGTTTGCTCTGTCTATTTACTGACTGTACATTTTCTTGTCTAGTTAACATGAATGATCTTTCAACCTTAAGTGTTCAATATTTCTGGGAAGAAAGAATTATATTTTACAAAGCACATAATATGTTTACACATGCGCATATGCGTTTATGCATGTGCATAATATGTTTACGCATGCGTGTTTAGTATAACTAAGTTTGTAAGTATAACGGATGGTATAAGCTAGGCTAAAATTATCTAATTATCTATTTCAGTTAATGTTGCAGATTGCGTTGTTCCTTAATCTTCTAATTGGATCCGGCTTATTATTTTTTGCAGACTGTTAGAGCAATTTTATAAAAAGTACGCTTGAACTTTCGATTATGTCAGAAAGAGTTTCCGATTCTGGAGCTGCCGAAGGATCTACAAAGTGAAAGCATATTCCGATGTCCATGAAACAAAATGGGGAATTGCTGCAAAAAATGGATAAAAGCATGAAGAAAATGACAGAGAAGTTAGTGAAAATGAAAAATTTCGATTGATAAGTTAGTCGGTATTCTCGGCACAGCAATTACAGGAACAGCGGGGGAACTTGTAAACTGAAAAGAAATTATTTGTTTATAGAATTAAAGAGAAAGTATCAGCACATAAACGAAGCAAGTTAAAAAACTTACATTAAGAAAAATGTTAATAAGGTAAACAAAAAAAGTAAACAAAAAAAAAAAGTAAAGGTTTTAAAGTAAACAAAAAATTTTAAGCTATTTTTTTAAAATTTTGATACCCTTTATATCATAATTGTTCTTTATTTCATAATTTACAGCTTCATATTTTTAATTTTATAATTTCTGCATGCCATCTTACCAGATTTAAACTGATGATCTATAATCCGGAATAGCCGAAGTCCCGACGAGTCCGGATTAAAGACTTTATACTGTATATATATATACATGCAGACATATAAATTATGTACATATGTGATGTGTATATGAGTGTATGCACACACACATATATGCACATATATACATACATACCTGTACAATTCTGAATCCGTTCAACAATAACAGAAGAGTACCCAAGGCTTATTTAAAATGAATTTCCAATTGTGAATTTTGATACTATCATTATACAGTCAAAAGTCATTAATTCAGACACACATAATCCGGACCTCAAAGCTACAAACATTCTGCACGTGCGTCCCGTTGACGCATGCGCATAAGACCTTTACGGCTGCGAATAAGCATGCGCATAATACGTTTATGCATGCACATTTAATGTATAACGGATGGTATAAGCTAAGCTACAATTATCTAATTCAGTTAATGTTGCAGATTGCATTGTTCCTTAATCTTCGAATTGGATCCGGCTTATTATGTTTAGCAGACTGTTAGAGCAATTTTATAAAAGTAAGCTTGAACTTTCGATTATGTCAAATAGAATTTCCAATATATTGTTGCGTGCGTACGGGTTCGTTATGAAATGAATGCACAAGTCCGATGAAAAATGAACAAAAATTTATTATTATCACAACAAAAATGCTTAAATTTTCTCAAATTATCATGCAGTATTACAATATCTCACAGTAGTTATCTTTTAACTACTCAAATGTCCAATAGAACATAATTCAAAACAGCTAAGAGAACGCTAATCCGCGAATTCGCTACAATCAACAAGAGCAGTTTTCTAAACAACAAACTAAGCAACTACTACGAACTGAGATGTTTTCCTCCTTTTATAAGCTTTTAAAATCACGCGCTCTTGTATTTTTAATTTTACGGCTTAGCTTTCTTCTTTTAATATTCGTCACGCGCTGCACTGCGTGGGAAATAAAACCAATTAATTTATAATTGAACTAACATTAGCTTTTTAAGTACCGAATTCGTAACAATATATTTACTAATATGTAAAGGATCTACAAAGCGAAAGTATGTTTCGAAGTCCATTAAACCAAAAGTGGAGTTGCTGCAAAAAATGGATAAAGGCATATCCTTCATTTCTCTAACCATTCCAAAATGAATTGGGCCGCACAATGAACCGCGGAATGAATTGGAAGTTGATCTGTCAGCACCATCCTTATCTTCAGGGCAGATATTTTTATTTTATTCGGCTTACAATTCATTACTAAATGTAGTATTTCATCTCGATGTGCTCCGTCTTTGATATGATTTAAATCAAATTCCTTGTCATTATAATTCGCTTCCGATAATGAAAAAAGTGACACAGAGGTTATTGAAAACGAAAAAATTTCGATTGACAAATAGTCGGTTCCTCGACACAGCAATTATAGGACTTGAACAGCGGAACTTTGTATTGAAGAAATTAATGTCTGTTTTATAGAATTAAGTATTATTACTGAAAATATTAATAAAACGAGCAACTTGAATAACTTACATTGAAAGAAATGTTTAATAAAGTAAACAATAAATATTAAGCTTTTTCTTTTTTGAAATTTTGATACCCTTTAGATCATAATTGATCTTTATTTCATAAATACGGTTTCATATTTTTAATTTTATAATTTCTGCATGCCATCTTACCAGATTTAAACTGATGATCTAAAATCCGGAATCGCCGAAGTCCAGATTAAAGACTTTGGACTAATATGTTTTCAGGGTCGTTCTCATGGGTGGCTCTTTGACCCTTAGTTGTGGTAGCACAGACAATGAAAGCTGTATACTATCTGAACATAACTATGGATCAGTTGCGTCTTTACATGGCCTCTGTCTTCCCAACTGGAAGTGGAATCTTCCAGCCTGACAATGTCCCATGTAACAGGGCTAAAATTGTGCTGGAGTGGTTCAAGGAGCACAAGGATGAATTCTAATTACTGTCCTGGCCACCTTCACTTGATCCAAAAGAGCACATTTGGGATTCCATAATGTGGCAGCTCAGAGGTCAAACACCACCATGTCGGAATATCTCGAATTTGTGTGACTGCTGCTTAGACATTTGGTACAACCTGTCTCCAGTCGTCTACCAAAAACTTGTGGCATCCATTCAAAGGCAATTTGCTGCTGTTTTGCGAGTCAAAGATCGCGTAATGCGTTATTGAGGAGGTAATATTATATATATTAAATATTTTGGCTCTTCAGTATATATGGACAGCTAATTGTTAAATTTTCAGACTGACATTTATTTCAAATAATCCTAGCATGTTTAACACATTGAGGATAGCGCAGATTTTGCTATATGACGCTACTGGATGACAATGCCTTTAGCTGAAGAACGTTTAGATAAATCAACGAATTTATGTGATACTGTAAAAGTGAACAGAAAATTTGTACAGGCAGAAGAAAAATGAAAACAAAAACAAGGTGACATTGTGAGTGCTGAATATCCTAAAGGAGTTAAATTTTTTAAATAGACAGACAAATGGTCAGCTTGCATGTTAACTACTTGCAACAATCATACTTGTACTATGATTGAAGGAACAACTGGCAAACGAAAACCTGATGCTATTTTTGACTAGAATAATGTGAAAAAAAAAAAAAAGGTGTTGATATATCCAATCAAATTGCATCATATTACAATTCCTTACACAAACTGTAAGTGGTATAGAAAATTTATCATAGAATTGATTTGCCCAACATCAGTTGTCAATGCATGGTATATTCTTAAGAGGTGGGGTAATGAGCATTTTAATATTTTAAAATTTAGATTAAATGTTATTCATCGGCTCCTGGAGGAAATAGCTACAAAAATACAAACATCCAAAAGAAGAACTACACATTTTCTTGAGAAGCATTCCAGAACTGCGAGAAAGTTGTGGAAACGATGCCGCAAATGTCATAAATCCTAATCTGCTCAATGAGGTAGAAACATAGCTGCAAATAAACGAAAAAGGTTATAATGTTTTGCTGATTTTGCGAAGGTGAAAAAATGTTTTAACCCTCCCAAAACAAATAGATATGTAAATGCATTAATTCTGTTATAGTCTACCTGTAAAAATCAGCTTTTCAATTTTTCAACAAAAAAATTATTTTTAACCACATGAAGTTTTTTTCATCTACAAAATTGTTTTATAAAATTATAGCTGATGTGAGCCACCAGTGGTACATGTCGCCAGATGAACCATTTGCATGTAAGACACCAGTGGTTAATGCCATCAGATGAACCATTGGCGTATGAGCCACCAGTGGTATATGCCGTCATTAAATAACTTACTTTAATTTAAACTAAAAATAAAAAATATAAAAATAATTAAGTTTTGAGAGAAAATTTTTCAAGTGCGAAAAAACTTGAGTATAAATAATAACAGTTTGTCTATTTCTATTATTTACTAAAATGTTCTTTAGTGCATTAATAAAAAGACATATATTTCTATGTAGGCAATAATAAACTTCTTATTCTTAATACAGCTTGATTCTTCTTGGTATTTTGATACTGATAAGGTTTGTAGTTTGGAGAGAAATTACTAGATATTATCTTTATCATGGATTGTAGATGCTCATCATTCAATCAGGTTCTTTTCTTATTAATTTTTAACTGTGAAAAAAAGCTTCTTCATTTATAAATGTGTTCTCGAGGAAAGCAATTATTCTTAGTGCAAAAATTTGTAAGTGAGCTGATATATTTTTTGATAAGTGTGAATAAAAGATTATAAAATCTGTATCTTCAAATCTTTGAATAAGCGTTATGTCACATTGTAAATTATGTAGCTCCATATATAAATTTTCTGCTACATTAGTCATGTTTATTTTTGATAGTAATGAAAATAATATAAATTGACACTTTAAATATCTTGAAATTTTTGTAACACTGTTTTTACAATAGATACCTATTTGAAATGTACTCGTGAGCAACATAAAATTGCTTCACTGCCACCAATATGAGACCACTACAATAGATTACATATTTTATTGAAAAGACTGGAAGAGGTGTTGTCTATTTGTATGCAAAGCCAAGTGGTCATGATTCTTTACTTCTTAAACATCAGTTAAAAGAATGGTATATTTCATTTAAAGAATTGTTGATGTAAAGAAATAGTATGAATTCAGTTTTTCCCTCACCTTTTCAGTATTTAAATGAGGAAAATTTTAAAGCTTAGATTTGAACAAATTATTTAAAGCTGCATATTTATTAGGGTGAAGCATGAAAGAAAGAAATTAAGTTAGAGTATGATCTTAAATAAGATATAAATAGATGTGAATAAGTTATATATTTAAATTGCAAGACTGGGAGTAGCAAAACAAAATAAAGGTATTTCTTGGAGATGATATGGAAGAGATGTTTTGCTGTGTTATTAAACAATTCATCATAGTGTATTATTTCTGAGTGTGCAAAATTATTTTTAGTCAAAAAAATCTGTCTTTTGTTGTTAATTATATAAAATGTTATTTTGATAATGATTTAAGATTATCTTTCTTCTCTTTTATTTTAGTATAACTATTTATGTAGTTTAATACTTTTTTTTAGCTCTTTGATTATGATGAATATGTCATAAACAAGACTTTTGATGATGAAAAGAGCATAGGTTGGTCATGGGCCTATGGGGCCTACAGATATTATTATAACATTTGTTTTGAAGGTAGGTTAACTATCTACAGCATGTTTTATTGTTTGACTGTTGTATTTTAAAAGTAGGTGTGTACTTAAAATGTGTTTAAAAAATTTATGCTGAGGCTAAATGAAAAAAAAAAAAAAAAAAAAAAAAATTGTTGTTACATAGGTATTTTCATATTATTCACAGTCCATTGAAAAGCTGTGAAAAAGTATTGACGAGGAAATGCATCGTGTTGCCAAAAAGTATTTATGTGGCATTGCATGAAGTCATAAAGTATTTATGTGGCAATCCAGATGATGAGTATAGTATCCTTCCTGACAACTTTTCATTTCAGATATTTTCATCAGTGTGACTGTAGATTATGTCTTCTCCTGTGAGAACTTAATTTCAGTATTTTAGCCTTGCAATGGACCTCAGACTATGATTTCCATCATCTTTAGTGAAATCTCGAGCTTAGATTTTTGCATCTGTAGAGTGCAATATGGCTTGCTTAAAGCCATCGTACCTTCTCTAATCCATCTCATTTTAGGATTTTGGTATTGAGGTTGTAAATGCTGCTAAGTTTATGTAATTCTCTCATTTCTTCATTAATGGAAACTGATCACTGTTTACAGAGACAAATGCAAAAAGCTTAGAAATGTGTGCGTATAGTATGGAAAATAAAAAAATGTTTAAAAAAATGTAGATGGCACTAAATATACTATTGAAATAGATGTACAGATACCAAATAAATGTTTCTGCCAAAGTCGGCAAGTAGCCTATGACTTTTGATGCAAAACCTAATCTGAATCTAGCCTGAATTTGAATCTTTTGGTGGTTTAAATAATTCAGATGCAACTTCAAGTGCAGAAAATTAAATCTTATCATTCTTCAGTGACAAGATTGAGATACATTTGCTAAATATATTTACTGAAATATTTACAACTTAAACATTATTACTTCGTTTAATTTAAAAAAAAAAGTACTTCTCTCACAACGTGTCAAAAAATATAATCACAATTGCTGAGGTGATTCTCGCAGCCGTGTGAAAACCCATTGAGTGAAGCAGTGCCCTCTTTTTTAAACAATTTCCATATAATCCCCATCTGTACTCATGTTAAGGAGTACACAAAATTTACACAGCAACATTAACATAGCTTAATGCTAAATAGTAGAACTTATATTAGGGGATATCATATAGTAACGTACATCAAAAATAAAAATAATGCACTATAATTAAATGAACAGTATATGGTAATCAATAATATAAACAATATTAAATGCTCAAAAATGACATCCAACATCCTAAGTTAAATTTCAAATGGATATAAAAGCTAGGCAGCTCTTTTGAATTGTTCATTTGGTGTGGGAACGATGCACACTCGTATATGTCGATCTTGTTCCACAATTACTTCTTCAACTACTCCCATATCCCACAGTACCTTAGATTGTTTTGGTCCTTCTACTAACACAATGTCTCCCATCTTAAGGTTATACTAAGTTGAAGGATTAGCTAAGTTACGAACATTTCTGAGCTGTAGCAAATATTGCTCTTTCCACTTGATCGATGTTAGTTTTAAGAGCTTGGCTTGGTAAAGCTTCCATCTGTTTAAAATAATTTGTCTGATACCTTGTTGAAAATTTCTAAAAATGCTCAAGAAAGTTAATGGTAACACATCCTGGAAGTGAAATCTATGAAGGTATGAGAGAGTGGTGTTCACCGAGCTCATTGCTCTCATAAGTTAATAGTCTCTTATTTAACACACACTCAATTTCAGTTAATATTGTAGAGAGCTCTTTGAGAGGCAGTAATGCTGCCTGAGATTTTCTTTAGAGGTTCTTTAATGCTTCTCATTAAATGCTCCCAGAATCCTCCCCATCCGCATTTGAATGCTTTATGGGGACCGTATTGAGAGATTTTTCTTATAAAGCCTGTCTGATGTACCTGAGTTATGTCATTATCATCAGGAAGAGTTTTGAAGAGCATTTAGAAAATATTAGGAAAGTATTTCAGAAATTGAAGGAAGCCAGTCTAAAATTGTCCTGCCAAATGTAAATTGGTCAGACAGGAAGTGACTTACTTTGGACATGTCCTCTCTGCCGAAGTTATGAGTATGGATGCAGAAAAAATGTCAAAGATTGGAGATTCCCCCAAAATATCCATTAACTGAGAAGTTTCCTGGAGCTTTGCACCAACTATAGAAGATTTGTGAAGGACTTTTCTTCCATTACAAGAGCCCTTCACAGACTGACAGAGGGCTAACAAAAGTTCTTGTGGACAAAAGAATATGAGAGATGCATTTAACAAACTGAAGATGGCTTAAACATCTGTGACAATAAGTTTTCCATCATCATCTGTATGGCAGATAATTCCTGCTCCTCACAGTTCATGCATCACTATCCCAAAGGCCAAATAGTCAGATGGATACAGAGACTGCAGGAATATGACATCACTATTCGCCATTGGAAACGATCATCAGACGGAAATGCCCGCACCCTGTCCGGGCAACGCTGCCCAGAAATCTGTTGACATTGTCCCAGGGTCAAAACAAAATATGACATGGTTAATCTTGTTGCACGTCAAATTACAACTTCAACATCGTCTGACTCAGTGTTATGGAGTGGCAAAAATGTCAGGAAAAACTAATTGGAAGACAGCGACATCAAACCCATAATTGACTTATTGGAATCCTTAAATAAGAAATCTACCTGGCAGGACATTTCGATCTATAGTCCTAGTTCTATAGTTTGCATAGAGTTTGAGAGTGCTTCTATTGGAGTAATGCAAGGGCTGATATGCAACTGTGGTGGCAATCTTTCAATGCGTGTATGGGCCAGAAAGCACAGAAGAAACGTAACTGAGGGAAGCTGCAATCTTATAATGTACGAGCGTCTTTTGAACACACCGCCTTCGATGTCCAGGTACCTCTGCCACGATATGCAAATCAGTGGCGACAAATTAATACATCCTAATTGTCATTAATTACAATCCTAATTACAAGTTTTCTGAAGTATATCCTATCACTGATCAGTCACTATCGCTGATCGGTAAGAGGCTGTCAAGGTAACAGAGGTAATAATTATACAGCATTGTATTTCCAGGTTTGCAGTGCCTCTTCAGTTACATTCCGATCAAGGACAATTTTATCTGTTTTTTTTCCTCTCTCAAGAACTCTGTAAACTACTCAGTATTGACTAAACCCAAACAACATTTTTACATCCACAGTCAGATGGCATGGCTTAGAAGTTTAATCGCACCATCTTTGATAACCTCTTGCTGATGCTTTCATAAAATCAACGGGACTGAGACCAGAAGTTACGTCCGTTCTTACTGTCTTATCACAGTGAGATGTTGGCTATGCCCCATCCCAGATGCTGTTTGGTTGGGACCTTCGGTCTGCCTTGTGTTTTGTTGTTTGGTCGCCCTCTGAATGTGCCTTAATTGCCTGAGGAGTACATTCAAGATCTCTAGGCATGGTTTGGAGTGTTGCAGAATTTTTCATGAGAGGGAGTCAGCTTGGATACGGAGAAAATCAAGACTCAATACGACACTAGACCGGCAGGATATCGATTCAGCAAAGGTGGCAAAGTGTGGTTATGGAATTTGATTCTACAGAAAGGACTCTCTTTTTAAACTACAGTCACCTTGGAAAGGTCTTTCCACGTCAGGATGAGTGACATCATGGTTCGAATCTGTAGTCATCAAATTCTAAACCTGGAGTTGCTCATTACAATAGGTTAGCCCCTTACTATGGCCATAGTACATAGTCTGCATAGTATATGTATTGTAAGTAGAATACTAAGACCATGTTGTATTTATATATAAATTTCTAAATTTGTGCATTTATTTTTAGCCCAATAGGGCATTAGCCCAGAAGGCCTATTGATTTCATTTTGGCATTTAAATTAAATTACTATAAACAATGTATCACTTTTCAAATTGTTGCCACTAAATATTATCACCCGGTGTTATACTTAAAGAAATTAAATAATGAAGAATCTGCATAAATGTATGCACGTTTCTTGCATTGTGTTAAAACTATGGTACCTAGAGCCATCAAAATTTGAATAACATAATCTCCCACCTGAATATTGGCATCTGGAAGCCCGAATTTGGTTTATTACCTATTTAATTATTTTGCAAAACTCCAATGAATTTTTGATTGGAAATTCTAAAGATATGCCCTTTTAAAATTATTTTATGATATTACTGTTGAAAGGAATTTTATGGTTTAAGTGCGAAGAACACAAAAAATGTAAAAAAAAAAGCCCCTTTGGGCATAATATAAAAATCTGAAAACTTTCAGATTAAAAAAAAAAAAAATTGTTTTATGTTTTCCCATTGAACTTATTGTTTTAGTATTGCATCGAATTTCCTTAGTTGTAAGTATGGATTCTTATACAGGGTCTACTGCCTGGGACGTGCAGTCCTTGGGAAGGGAGAAATGTTACTAATTTTTCTATATATGCAAATAAATTTAGTGAAGTTATGTTCAAAACTGTTTTATTTTCTGTATTCTTGCACTTAGATATACATTTTCTATACCAAAAGCTGAACATTGACAACTGGTTTTATCAATTTATCTGCAAAGCATATGAATATGTATATTATATGTGTTTAACAAATATTCTCTCATTCATATAAAGCTAATTTAAGGTTAATTTAAATTGAAATTTTAAATTATGAAAATTTAATTGTATACAAATAAAGATTAATTATTGCTGCAAAAACTAATTTACATATCATTTAAATTCGGAGAGCATATGTAAAATGATGTGCAAGTATCTAAAACCATGAAAAAAAAAATGTATTATATACATTATATGTATTATAATTCAAAATAAAGTTTTTAAAAGTAAATTAAAAAGCCTGTGACTTGCACTAAAGCTGCCAAAACAATAAACCAATAATTCATAATAATTTATAATAAGAAAAATTTTCCATATACCATCTCCAAGGGGCACAAATTCAATTTAATACCAATGTATTATATATATATATATATATATATTATATATATATTTTATTAAAATATATTTTTCTCCCTAATTTAGGAGACCCAATAGTTTAACCAGCATTAGTATGTATTGCATTTTGTATCGTAGTTTTAAATGCTTTTCATTGTCAATTTAAAATATAATGATGTTTAACTTTTTTTTAAAAAATTATATATAAATTTGTTCTTTACCTTATTAAGTATAAGATCTGTTCGTATCCCATCTAGATAATCTGCTTCTTTTTCAGTAGAATTCAAAATTTGTTTTTATAGAAAGGTTTTATTTAAGTACATAACTTAAATTGAGCTTGAGCCCTTAAAGTAGACTTAGTAGCTTATGATCATGATAAGTTATTAAAGTAGCTAGGTAACGCTCTACTTTTCTCTTCTTATTCAGGCATCTTTTGTGAAAAGCATTGAGATATTTAATGAATATTGTTGATAATTTTAAATAAAAAATTAAATAATATTGAAGTGGGTAGAAGAATTGCTAATTATTCCTATCCTATTATAAATTGTCAGACGCAAATTTATTTAAAATGGGTGCCCAAGTAAGCATGGGGAAAGTAATCTTGTCTTGAAAAGTGGTTATCACGTTGGCGTGTATCCATGCAAATCATTTGTGTATCACTAACAGCTGGCATTCCTTGCCCACTGCTGTTGATAAAATGCATTTTTTCATTTCTTATTGAAATTTGCACCAATGTAGATAGAATATGTAAATGATTAGCGCATATGCATATATGCAACACATATGCAAATTATGTGCTACTTCGAATATTTATAAAAAGGGAGAACAGTAGTCTATTTTAAGTACTAAAAATATTGTTTTCCCATTGTTCTTTTGTGTAAAAACTTCAGTATGCTTTATCCTTTCTTCCCTTTTTTTTTTTTTTTTTTTTGAATGAGTGCAGAGGAAATACCATTTCATCTCAACATCTCCAGGCAAACACTGATCTCTCTTTAGACAGATGCAGGGAAATGCATTCACTAATCATTATTTCTACAAATCACATCTACACAGCAACTTAATGGTGGAAATATTTCGCATTCTTAGATTCGTTCAGATGTAAACGGTTTAAGAATCAGATATTGAACTAAACTGAAAAAAATCAGATATTGACTGAAAAAAAGTGCAACTCTATTGTTAAAGACTGACGTTCTTTGCATCAGTTCAGATTGGCTCTCTTATATTAATGAGGTCAATGTCAGCCTGTAAGGATCTTAAGTTTTACTAACGTTTATTTTATTTTAAATCTTTACTATCACTTCTTATTTTCTACTTCCGGCCAGAATTATAAGCGTTAAGGATTTTATGCAAAGTTTGTCTGGCGAACGCCAAGTATTTAAGTGTGGCCTTTTTGCCAAGCGAGAAGAGAGGAAGCAGTGAGTTCGAAGCAGGCCGCTTACCTTAGAAGTTACGCAGTTGCTGTTTGCCTTCCAGGCCAGAGGTTTTAATCCTCTTGATAAATTAAACGTATTGTAGTGTTCACAGTCTCTGTGCTACATACGCTTCCTGTTTATATAAGGCCAATCTTCCACGTGTATTATTCTAAAGTTAAATTAGAGTTTAGTTTTATTTTTATACTTTTTTTACGTTAGACCCCGAGTGGAGGGTCAGTGTATTCCGAAGTACGGAAGTTATTGTATATAGAGAAAAATAAAGGGTTTTGTATACCCTTCGTCTGTATCCTGTCTACTTACCACAATTAGTGAACATAGCTTTAGTAAGCTCTCTGTTCCGAGTCAGGTCCTTGTATGTTTCCGAAGAAGGTTAGAAGGAACATTGAACCTGATAAGCCTTTCTTAAACCTTTGGGGTACAGTTTGATGCGATACAAGTTGCAGTAGTGACTGGTTCCATTGCTAATCATGAATAGAATCTAGTCCTGAGAAGCATTTGTTCTTATACCTTTGTCTCAGCTTCCTATTAGTACCATCTGTAACAGTATTATGGTCCTCCAGGCTGGACTTTACAACAGCAAATCATAGAGATGAAATATAAATGGGGATCTGCAAGTGCCCAGCAGGCCTATGTATTAAGAGGGCCCTGCTTTCAAGGAATGGTTTCAATCTTTAAATCAAAGCAGTGTATAGATTGCCGGTCTTTGAACATTCAGCTCTCTTACTATCTGTTATACTCTCTTGCTGGCAGTTCTCCACTTCAAAGACTCTTTCAATACAATTTTGATGCTTTATTTATGTATTTATTTTTTACATAGTAAGCATCAAAATCTGAATTGCAGAAGTTCATGAAGAAATGCAATCATGCAGACAGTTTTCTACCCTTTTGAATGCTGTCATACCATTATTTGAATTTTAGGAACTGATTGAAGTTGATTGGGTAATGATTATGAATTTAGTTTTTTGCTCATTTCACGAAAATACAAAGTAATTGAGATTAATTATTTACTTCACAAAATACAATTATTGGATATTAATGTATTTCAATCTTTTTAAGGGAAACTTGTATTTTTTCAGCCTAACCTAAACTAGCATTGTATAATCTATCTTCTTTCTTTTAATCCTATTGGCTGACAATAATTATGTGCTGTTAGAAACAGTCTGATCCTGTTTCCATCAGCCATTCAGATTTAATATTAAGGCATCAGCTTTCAAACTGACAGTCTTTTTATGTAACTGAAGTCTTTTCCTTGTTACTTTATTTAATTTTTTTTTTCAAAGATAGCTGTTAAAGCATGTACTGGAAAGTGTCCAGTTTCAGTAATAAAATTATTCATTTTGATCACATAAACTGACACAAGAAAAAAGGTATACAAACAGGAGCAGATGGGGCATCAAGAATCTGGAAAATTTCTCAATGTGCTGTTGGTCGTGATGTGGCCTTGTTAACTGATATCAGTGCTTTAAAAAAGATAGGTTATTAATCATAACTAAATGATTCCTGCAACATGAAGCAATAATGGTACTTCCTTTTTATTACTACCCCTTTTATTTAAACAGTCAGGTATCTTGATCACCAGTACTTTATATTTCAGTCAGGTATCTTGATCAACACTACTTTAACAGTCAGTAATTATGATCACCACTACTTTATATTTAACTATTTTTGTAAATATTTTTTAATTATCATTCATCAACAAATATTAAATTGTTAATTGTACTGAATTAGTTTCCCACACCAGTCAGATTAATCGCGTTTGGTCCCACATACAAAGGTATTCATTTCCTGTTGTTGGACTAAAAGAAAGTGCAACTGCTTTGTGTAAATACAGTGAAAAAAGGAAACTTACCAGTATCTGCACTGATATTCTCATAGTAGAATAATAATTGGACATATTTGCAAAAGTAAGTTTTAAAGGTTTCTATAAACATTTTCAGTCTTGAGAATAAAGGGAAAGAGGTGCCACTTTGTACCTTAATAATTGGAGAAAATAAACTAAAGTTCTTAGAAATTTCTCTCTCTCTCTCTCTCTTTTTTTTCTCGTTAAAACGTGAAACAATGTTAAATAATTAAGGTCTGTAAATTAAATGTTATGCAATTTATCTGACAGCTAACGTTACAGTTAATAATTTCTTTTTCTTCATTTAACTTCAATAACTTAAAAAAATTATTAAAAAAAAGTTTTATTATTATCATTATTTTTATTTTATTTATTTATATATATAGTTTTTAAACTTTTGTTGGTCACATTTTGATCAATTTTTCCTTGTGTAAGTTAACTCTTACCTTTCATTTGTAGGTATATTGCAAAGAATGGAAAATTTTGAGCAGGAACATAAAATAAAATTATTTGTTAAACGCCTTGTTATTATTTGTCCACTTTCATGTAATATCGATGGTCTACTTAGTGGCCGAGACCCTGCAATATGTTTAGTTGGAAGATTAGAATCTGTTTTCAATGATCAAGGAGGAAACGTTAACAGAGATTATCATAATTCTGTTTATAAAATAGGTGATTCTAATGTAAGTCTTTAAAAAATTGTGCATTAATTTAATACTATATACTTAAAATGTCTTAAACACTTGAAATATTATTTTTTAAAGTGTTATTAAGTACATATGCTTACACTATTAAATTGTTGCTGGGTAAAATTTGTGTATGTGTTTTTAGCGGCAACTAAGGGCTGAAACTTGTGATCATAACTATTTAAGTAATTTTTAGTTTAAATATCTATTTCACATAAAACATTGTACAAATTAAAGCATCATAGAAGTTAACCTCTTAACAGCCGTGGGCACTTATATACACTTTTGCCATACACTTTTATGCAATCGATATGTTAACTATCTCAGGTGTTAATGTATGCCTTTACCAAATATGTTCTCCTGTAATTTGCTTCTAGCCATATAACTAATCAAATAGGAATGCAAAGGCAGATTATCATGGGTACAATATACTTACTGTTTAAAAACAGTAAATATAACTGTATTTGTTAAAGCAGTATCAGGATACGCGTACAAGGTGATTGTGTATACAAAAGAGAGTACAATTATAAGGTATTTCTCCTACCTTCTTAGCATGCCTTCGTGGTATAGTGGTCAGCATGCATGATGCGAATTCTAGAGGTCCGTAGTTTGAGTCCCGTCGAGGGCATTGCTCATTTTTCATTTCTCCTGCTTTGAAAAAAACCTAATCTCTCTACACAATATTTGATAAAAATTTGAGAATTATAGACTTGCTGTAGGAACAGTGATAATGCTTGTGGAATCCTTTTTTTTGGGGGGAGGGGAATTATTGTGTAATTGTTGACAAATTTTATCTGTAAACAGAATTAGCAGATGTTTTTATCCAAAATAAAATTGACATATAGAGAATTCTTCATTCTAATTGGTGTGATTTGCCAGAAAGCTTACACAACTTATTTTCAAGAATGGCAAAGTTGCCACTTTTCAACTAGCAGAATTACTGTATTGAGATGGCATGACAAAAAATATGTATCACTTCTTAACTCAAACTGCTATAAAACTGATAAGAAAGTTATCAAGTTAGTTATGGTTATTGATTATATCTTAACAATCAATATGAAAAAGATAGAAGTATTTGTATAACACTTTTCTGCCATCTTCTAGACATGGCTATTAGGAGTAGCTTTATTTTACAAAAGAAACAACTTCCAAACATTAACAGTTACTATTCTGCATGAACACATTTTTCAAAAGTTTCACTTACCATTGTATTATCCACCAAATACAAAAGCTACAATCTGACAATCCTCTGTGACTTCCTGTTAGATAGTAGCATAAACTTCTACAAAGAAAAATGTATAGTTTTTCTAAGAAAAACATAATTGCCTGATTCTTGCTGTTAGTGGGCTGAATGAGATGTTGGATTATGTGTTCAACCATATTTCAAGATATATCAAACAATAGTTAAATGCTAACTCTTATTTATTTTATTATACTCGGTATTTTAATTTTGTATTTTTTGATATTTCCACGATAACAATACACACTTTTTCAATGGTAAAATGTGCCTCTGCTTTTACAGAAACACACAGTGTCACTGTGTATTTATGAAAAAGACAGTGGCATTGGGGAGTGAATTGCAGAAGATTTCGTCAACAGTTAAGCTATTGTAATACTATAATGCCTCATGCATAAGAAGATTAGGTAACTAAAAAATATAAATAAAAACGTTGAAAAAGTTACATTTATATATCCAGTAGGGAAAACATTTATCTGTCTCTATATATACCAGTTTTGAAAAATTAAGGAAAAGCCTTATTAGTAGTAATAACTCAAAAATTTATATGAAATTTGGGAAACATTTAGTGAAGTACAAAGTGACACATGCACACACACACACAAAATATATATAGCAAATTGTTTTATTTTTAAAACCAGTTTGTGAATGAAAATAATAAATTGGAAGTGCCAATTAGAAATAATGGAGGTTTCTTCAGTATGGAGTTTGATTAAAGAGCAACAATGCAGCACAGACAGCTTTGTTCCGTGTTGTTAAATAGGATGTCTGTGGGTACAATGGGGCATAAAGCAATTGTTGTCATAGAGCTTGGCCAAGTGTATTAAGTATTTAAAAGAGGAGTATTGAGAGAGCAACATATCTTCATAGAAAGGGCATACCAGACATGCTGCATAGAATTCAAGTTGAGATATTAAGCTCAACATTTTATGTGTTAAATTGTTTCTCATTGAAAGTATTCTTTCATTATATGAACTTTGATTGAGTGTTGTTGTTTTGGAGGATAAAATTTTCACTGATAATCTTGCATAAGCATCAACAGTATCACCTCTATACATGTGAGCTGTTACTGTTCCATGTGGGAAAAAATGGATGTTTGTGTTTGCTTTGATCCCACTCTAAATATGGATGTTGGAATGAGTAGTCAAGGTTATTAGAATGATGATAGCATGTTCTATGTTCTTTCTGAATCATGTTTGCAGGTGTTTTGCATGCTATGTTGGGCTCAAATAAGCTCCACTGGTCTTCAGTTCAGTAAACATGTTGTTTGTCTATAACAAATGTTGTCATCTATAACAGATAGTGAGAATTGCTCAACTAGCTGCTTGCTTTGCATGCAGATTTCTATATGAAGCGTTCTGGAGACATAAGATATCCTTCCAATGGCTGCAGTGAGGAAAAATTTTAATTGGCTTGGTGTCAAGTTCTTGTTGCTTTATGCATATAACTGAAAATTTCAGTATTTGATGCCATCATAGCTATTGAACTTTCCTTTCTGCTCTTTCTGGAGGCTCTATCTGTGCTTAAACATTTTGCCCAAATTCTTCAAAATGTGAGGCAGTGTTTCTTAAATTTTTTTCAAATGTGGACCTCTTTTATAAATTAGAATGTTCTGAAGATAATATTACTTTTGCCCCCTTCAAAAGCAATTTTTAAAGCTTATGTTATTATCAATATATTTATATTTTTAAAAGGCAGTTAATTTAAATTCATTTAATTTTATATTAGTATTTAGTGAAGAAATTTATGTTTTTTTAATAATAATTCAAGCCTTTTAGAGTTTAGATAATATTAATTGTAATAATTAAAAATTAAATAAATGTTGCTATTCACATTAATGAAATGAATGATCCTGCACATTCTTGCATAATTCTTCTGTGTTTCCATGTATGCTAGTAAGAAGCACCACAATCATAGGGCCAAAATGAAGTGAGAAGTCCATAGCTAGGGAAATCAGTAATAATTTCATAAAATGCTAGTTGTTAGTCTTGAGAAAATGTGATAGACAATTGCCATGTGTAATTAAAAATTTTTGAGATTTTCAACTGCAGTGTAGTATACACAGTTAATTGAATTTCATTTTTTTGTCTTTTTGGAAAGGTAATGAATGCTGTAAAGCACAATTCCATAATACTTCTTAGAAAAAAACAAAAAGTTACAATAATTATTTTTGAAATGATTTCATTTGTCTTCTTTTATATTTTGGATAAATAATGATAAAGATAATAAATGCTTACTTCTTAAAAAAAGCTAATATAATTATTTTAAAATTAATTTCATTTGTCTTCTTTAATATTTTTTCATGATAAGAGTTTTTTCCTGTGTGATGGTGCCAGAATATTTAAATATCAGCATACTGTTACAGATTTGGTATTTAATTAGTTAATGTTAATAGAATTATAAATAAAATTGTTTTATTCCCCGCACAATGCAGCACATGATGAATATCATTAGGAAAGATTTAGCTGAACAGTTTAAAGATAAACTTATTTGGATGCCAACCTGTGTTACCCTCCAGACTGCGTCTGGTGACAAGATCGACATAGCTGGGAAGTTAAAAGTTCACCTGTAGTTTCATGTAGCAATGTTGCATTTGTAGGATCTCATCAGGACTTAAAAGAGAAGGGCTAGCTCATAGAGCTTTTCCCCCTGAAACAGGCAGTGGGGAGTGATGACGTAGCCATGATGCCACTAAGCGCCGAGATGCAATTGACAACATAGAAATTAGCGTTTTAAATTTGAAGAACCAGCGTTTAAAATGAGCTGTGCGTGAAAGATAGCTATAATTTGGAAGAGACAATGTTACTGCAGTATGCATTTTACAACTGAACATTTAAAAATTTATAGTACTTTATTCCTTTAAATAAGAGATAAAATGCACTACTCTTAGCATCAATTCCTTTTTTTAAATTTTTTTTTTTTTTTTTCTTAAAAAATTCTTTAATGCATGTTAACTAAGAAAAAACTGTACTACTGCTTCTAAGATAACTATAATAACAGCGATTTAAATTTATATAATAAAAAAAAAAAAAAAAAAAAACCTTAAATTGGCAGGGTTTTAAACATTATGGTTATATATGGCAAAATTTTGCTAATAGAAGTTTGAGTTTTCAGCCTAATTGTAATTTCACGTGGCTATTTTTTTTCTCCCGATTCAATGCAATAACATATATTTTTTTAATATTTTGTAACTTTGGTTACATCAATATTACATTTAAATAATACATGTAAGATTGTTTCTTTTATTATAACAAAACAACTTTACTCACATTACTAAAAAAATTATTTAATTTTTCAAAGTGGCTGTTAAGAAGGCAGGTCTTCTTATGAAATTACTTTAATGTTATATCTTTATGCATTTTATCTAGAATGCTAAGCTAGCACAAAATCGAATCAATAATAACACAGGATACAATAAAAATAACTTTAAACAATAACTTAACAAAATTAGTTCTCATTTGAAATATGCTTACGCTATTAACTTCTAAAATGTCATCTAGAAATATTTCAACTCAAAACATATATATATCTTAGCTGACACTTGTACAGTCGCAGTGCAACTAAATTGTTCAAATATTATTATTGGCTGCCACATTCAAAGCAATCCCTTTTTTGCCTTTTGGTTCCTTTTTCGTTGGAAAAACACATGCATTTCTATTTAAGAACGTATTCTAATAAAAGTTCGCACTCTGCAAAATAAACGAAATGCTTCTCTGTTAACTTCAGGATAATGTTTCCTTTCTCCAGTTTATTAATTAAA